GAGGTTTCACAGGGTAGAAAAAGTGGTTTTTGCCTTGCATGAGGAGGTTTTGGTGAATGTGATTTCTCGACCGGCTGCTTGGCCGTCCTTTAGATACCATTCTATGGTTCTTGGACAAGTTCTCAGCTCTTTTCAGTCTTGGAAAATTATTTTGGAAAACTATTCCTCAAACAGAGGAGTCTTTCTTATTGTTAAGAGTGTCACTGATGATTGCAGACTCCAATCTTATGTGGATGTGTCTCATCCAACATGGCTCGATGGTGTTTTTAATGAAGAAAGGATCTCGTCCTCTGATTATTGAAGTTTAGTTTTTGTGTTTATGGTTCAGGTTGTAAGCATATTCTTTTTGTATATGCCCTCTCTATGTAGATGTGGCGTGGTTAATGTGGTGCTTAGGCCCTTGTTGGTATGTGTTGTAACAATTAATCATATCTTTAATATAAATCCAGTTGACAAAAAAAAAAAATCAAGTTGTTTTCAAAAATATAGCCAAATTCAACTATTACCATTCAAATTATAAACTATTCCGATCGATACCAACATATTTAGTCAAATTCGGCTGGGTTCCACACTTCCACTATGACCATTTAGACATATTATTTAATTTTCCTTTATTTTTTTAATTTCTTTTGCATATAATTCAAACACACACCACTCCATTGAATAAGTGAAATATAATTGAAGAAGTTAAACTAGTTATAATAAAAATAATTATTATTTTATTATATTTTAAAATATTTATACATTTATTTTACCACATTTTTACCGTTGTTATGTCACCTAACATATTAAATACATTCATTCTTTGTAGCGCACCCCGTTAACTGTTTATTGCCAGCATTAGGACTAATCGTTGACGTAATATGACCTTGATGATTTATGGGTGGAAGACAATCACATTCAGGTGCTCTGTCACCAGGGCAATGACAAAGTGTTGGTTCTTGCTGTATTCTTCTTAATGCTTCAGATTCCGATAAGAAATCTGCATGTCAAAAATTTAAATATTAAGTAATGTTGCACAAAAAAAACGATATGATATCTCGAATTCAAAGCTATGGTGTGTATATATATTCGTACAAGATAAAACAATAAGAGCAAATACGAAGTGAATGATAGGTTTCGCCATAACGTTTGATGAGTTTTTTTAAGAGTGAATAAAACTTTTGTTTGGTATGAATTGTTTGCTCTCTCTCTCTTTATTCTTATATATATAATTTTGTAAACTAGATAAAAACGTATGAAGAGATTAAGAAAGTTTATTACTACTTAATTGACTTCATAAATTCATATGTTACATAAATTTTAGACTTTTATCATGTAACATGCAGAAGTTTTGACTATTTTTTAGGGCTAATTAGCTAAACATGTTTTTATACTAGAAAATAGATTTTAAGCTGATTAGCTCTGAAAAGAGTCAAAGTTTCTGCATATTACCGTCAGGTGGTTCAATTCTACATATTATCGTCTGGTGCCTCAACAGTTAAAAATTTGGTGGTTCAAAAAAATTATGAGGCATTTTAGCATCTACGCAAAAATATTAAAGAGTTATATTGAACTTAATTTTCGTTTATATTGGTTCAGTTTGGATATTGGTTCAGTTTCCGCAGAGGAACTTATTAAAAGTGTTCCATAAATTCTTCAAACGTAACGACCACGCTGTCTTAATTCTAACATTTGACTTCGAATTCATACAAACGTTGCACGTGTGCATTTTTTTAGTTTTTGGTTTTTCAAGTCGAGATTCTTCATGAAGTTAATGATCCTTGGGAGCAGAATTTAATCTCATAAATCATTTCGTCGGTATCTACTAAATAGCTTTTGTCTGTCTCTTAATTTTTTGGTAATTAGTATATGTAAAGCTAACGACGTAAGGGTACAGATTATTCAAACATACATTATCTACAACATTTTAGGAATTTTTATTTATATAACTATTAAAATGTAGTAGCTTAGTGAAATTTTCTCTCCATATCTATAATTTGGTCGAATTTCATAAATCTTTTTTTTTTTCCTTAAGAAAACAAAAGAAACTCATTGGCTAAATAGCCTAATATCACCGTAATAGACATGCAAGTCTAGAAAAAGAGTATTTGGAACAGATCAATGTGATTGATTGATTATCTTCTAATTATATACTCGTTCCCCAAATCTCGTCTTTTAAATCAGAACCGTTGAGATAAAGACACGTGGCGAGATCTCCTGTGTGAAGACACGACTGACACAAATCCACGTGGACCACGCAGCTTAGACCTATACGCAGTCTCATCGTACGGTCTCCGGTAAAACTTCAGATACGGTACAAACGACTTCTCGCCTCCTCCACCGACATTATTCTCCCTGCGAAAGAGCATCGCCGGCGACTGAAAGAACGAAGGACGTGGAGTTTTCCGGTACGAAACCGTCTTTGTCTTCTCCGGCAACGGCGTAGATGGAAACAAACTCTTTCTGCATGCAGCTGGTTTCGCTTCTTTGAAACCACGCGCCGCCGGAGACGCGAAATATAGCGACCGTGCGCTGAGAGGAGAAACTTGAGCGGCGGTGGATGAGGAGACGGCGGGGTTATAAGGGGACGTGTCGGTGAAGGAAAGATACCACGGCTTCAAGGAGTTTTGAGAGACGGTGAAAGCGAATCTTGAAGAAGCTGAACCAATCGTGGCCGTTGATTTAATCGACGATGCGTCTAATCTTAAAGATGCTGATCGAGGATTTGACGACACGTGGCTGATATCTAGCCTTTCGTCGTAGTCTAGAGACGACACTATCATCGTGACCGTTGAGAGCTCCACAAAAGGACGAACACCCTGACAAATTGGTACGAACAAAACGTACTTTTGAGCTTATCCATATCTAATCACGATTAGAGAATTAATAATTCGAATTTAATGAGTTAAAGTTTATACAAATTTTACCTTCCAAAGGTAAGAGAAATAAGAGGGAGGGTCGATGATAAAGGCTTTGTCAAGTCGGCATGGGTAATTATCTGCGATGATTTTTAGGGTCGCCAAAAGCAAATTCACAAATGCAGAGGATGATCTGAAAAAGCCTGTTTTTATTTGTATGGTATTAAGAAAAGGAAAAAGAATATTAATCGATTTTGTACAGCTAAGTGTCGTGTGAGACTAATAATTAATTGTCTAATCAGGTTTGAACAAAAATATAAAGATGTGTATTTTTTCAGAGAATAATTGTACTTCATTTTTATTCAAAAGAATGAAATTCGAAAAGGTGGATTTAAAAAATAAACTTTTTGTGCAGAAAGAAAAAAGCATAAATCTTTAATAGCGTGATACTAAACTAAGGTATTGATCTTTTGCATTGTAAAAATATAGGTATTTGTAAACTAAGGTATACGTTAATTTCAAAAAAAAAAAAGTACGCCAATCATTAAATAATATGTTATAATCAGATAAGATTTTTACAATTAAAAAGTATTATTTTTTAGTTATAAATAAATATTTTGTAGTATGAAAAATCCTATAAATGTAGATAAGGAGGAGTTAACAATAAAATTCGGATCTGGAAATTTACATTTTTGGCTAGGTAAATTGTCAAAAACTAAAATAGAACAAGAGTTATCAATTCTTTTATATTGAAAAGGAAAACTTGCTTAAAACTTTTCAAGAAAATTACTGAAACTATGTTGAATTAGCGGTGAATAGCAGACGCTTTTAGTGGGTAATTTACAAAAGAATTGACGTTGACACATAAGGGGAGACAAATCGGACATCAAATAAATGCATATACATGTCCGAGTGTTTCCGGTCCACGACAAGACTCAATCCAAAATAAGAAAACCAAATAACCAAACAAAACCCAAAATACGAAAATCACGGATTAGTACATAGAAATTTGGAAGCTTACTAGGGATTAAAGAGTAATTTCGAAATTACTTACTTGCATCGAAGAGAAGAACAAAGCTCTGTTCCGCGTTTCTGGACATGCTCGAAATCGCAGTCTCAATCGTGAACGCCACCAAACGCGTAAATCTTCAAATCAAAATAAGAAAAATTACATTTTGAAGAATATCAAATACAGTTTAAAAATTAGTAATTTAAACACTAAACTTACTGTTTTTGGGTACGCAGCTTCTGATAATCATGCTTAAAACGGAAAATCTGTAAAAATCAACCACACTTTTGTTATCATTCATTCATAACGTTAATATTATTATAGATGAAAAAAAAAAGATGGATTTATGAAGAAATTACAATAACAGGTCTTGATTCTCCGTCGTGACCGGAGATGTAAGCTACACCGTCGCTAAGCTCCGTCGAGAACTCCTCTGCTCCTAATCGCTCTTAACATATGAAAAAAAAAACAAAAGCTTTAAGAAAAGTGTTTGATTTTTTGACCAATAAAATGGAAAACATATATACCAATATCGAAGCTTTGTCTCCAAGAAAGACATGAAATGAGTTGTTTCGCAGCTTTTTTCACATTATCTCCTTTAACCTTCAAGAATCTCTCAACACACTCTCTGTTACAGAACTTCTCCTGTAAAAAAGGTTCTGTTTTTCATGAAAAGTTCGAAGCTTTGTTTATGAAAACATATGCAAATATTAGACGTACTTGTTTAAAAGTGAGTGGAGATTGTTTCTTGACCAAACGAAGAACAGCTTCGACTTTCTCGTCTTTCTTTCCCATTTTCTTGATGAAGATCTCTAAAATCTCTCTGCTTTGTTTTAAAAGAACGAAGAAACAGAGGATGGTGATGAAGAAGGAAAAAAATATTGGATTTTTTGGGAGAGAAAGAAGCTGGGACAATGATTGTGTTTGTGTTTTTGTGCCGCAAGCTTCTTCTTGTAGCAAAAAAAAAAACTTTGTATCTCTCTCTCTCTCTATATATGGAGAGAAAAACAGAGTGTGTGTGTGTGTGTTGTGTCTGAAAACGGCTTCTGCAAAAAACTTATGTTGGAGAGAAGTTATTGGCTTGTTGATGACGCTGTTATGTCGTTTTGTGGACGTTAAATGTTTAAAAAGCTAAAGCCGTTGTGGCCGCCAGTGACGCCATCTAACGCCGTTAAGTGTCTCTCCTTGTGTAAAAATCAACTTTTTTAGCTTCTGTTTTCATTAATTAGTCAAATGTTTGTTTATTACTTAAATCATTCTTTTTATTAGAGTACTAATGAGTAAGTAGAGTTCTCTTGCTTTTTGATTCAACATTAGGGATGGAACTTGTAGATTGTAATAAAAATAGAATAAAAGGTTTTTATTAGTAACACCTAGTTCATATATAGTCAACGTCTATATTACCTAGCTCAAGTACTTCCAAAACGATCGACAGTGACGTTGGCCAATTAAATGCATTTTGCAGTAACAAGAGTTCTGAATTTCTGATCGACCAAGTCCTTTTGTTTTCCCTATAACTCGGTAAGAATGACATAACAAATTCCACATATTTTTTCGTTGAAGCAAGAAAAGAAAAGAAACGTTTTTTTGATAAACAAACGTTAAAAGCGTGTCATTAACTTTGTGTTTGAAAACACTTGCTAGTTTGAATAATCACTAATTATGTACATTCCAACAATGTGAAGGCGTCAACTAGATTTCAATTGAAAAACTTAGAATCCCCTCTATTTATTTTTGAAAATCCAACATTTTATGATTGAAATTGTTGATGTGACTAATTTTTACTATTCTTTTTACTCGTACGTTACATTTCGATCATAGATGCAATGTATGGTTTCAGTTGCAAACTGTTGTACCCACGTCTGATGTCATCCAGTAAAAATAAAAACATCTTTTCAATAACAAGATCAATTTACCAAACTCCGCAAGATACTAGTTAATTACTTTTGAGGTTTAATAAAAGAACAGAAACACTCGTGATCTCACAGAGAAAAAGACCACATTTAAAAAATTAGTTTGTGAGATATTCATATACTTATTTATTTTTTGAACCATTATCCTCGTTCAAACGTGCAACTTTCATAGTTTATCGTATCAGTAAATTCGTGGACGTGATCATTAGTATTATTTTCCTTAAACATAGGCCAGGTGGTTTAATTCTACCAATCCGTATATATTAACCATAAACTCTAGTAAATATTCTTGAAAAAAAAGAGACCGTTGTCTTCACGGCAGCGACTTGCTCGTACGTGGTTAGTGGTAGTAAGTATCCAGTAAAATCCACATGTCAAAAGCAAAGATAACACAAAAAAAAATGCGAGTTCACGTTCACGTGCTCGTTTCCTAATGCTTTCTGTCTAATGTCCACACACCAACAAAGAAAGTCAAAAAGAGAATTGATGATCTCTTCTGTATTAACTCCAAATTGCGCAGTGAAAGGCACACGAAAATCGTTAGTGAATGTGACATACTAATTAAATAAGTTTATTTGGACAGCTATATTTTTTAGTTATAATGATCAAAGAGACGACTATGTAGGTTGATGATAGTCTTAGCTTATAAGAAAATAATATTAGCCTTCTCTGTACTATACTGTATGACTATCTAGCAGATTCAATTTTTTTGTTATTGCAATTTACTTTTACTTTGATACTTGAGTGTCCGAAATTTTGAGAAGTCTCTGTGTTATTTAACCCCTTAAAATCAAAATCAAATCACACGGAGTTAGATAGTCTGTATCATATCAATCATGATATTTTGAAAAATGAAAAGTAAATCTTCTTAGACTTTGAGACGTATTTTGTAAAAACCATATCAAAATATTACAGTTTTCTATATCTAATGTTCTAGACAAATTCTTGTCGGTGAATCTAGGTGGTGACAAAACGATACTCGTAGAAATTATTAAACTATATATTCTGATCTTATGTTTTAAAATTGATAACTTCAAAATTGGTTAGATATTATAAAATTTTAGATATAAATCCACATCTTAGTATATTTTTGGACTTGTTATCTTTGATATATTTATTCACTAAATTTTATTTAAAAGATATGTTGAAGATGCAAATTTGACCTACTTTCCGAAATTATATATGTATTCAAATTTTGAAATCTATATGTATCTTATTTTATTGCATCGATGGTCCTCACTGTTCCATATAACATTGTAGGAAGTGGTGGGGTTAAGGCAAAGTGATTATGTAATTATGATGCTTAATCATTAAGAAGAATTTAGGTAAGATGGTTCATTTTAAGAAGTTAACATAAGAGAGAAAGAAAACTAGTTTTTTGATATCTAAAAACGATGAAAATGTTTTAGATGCTAGATTTTACTCTTTTGATATACAATTTAAAATGACAGGTCAGTAATGATTTAGCTATCAGCAATTTTATTTTTATGTAATGGAGATGGAATAATGATCAGAAAGGGTTTTTAACTCATGCCATCTCGCAGACGGGACAATTTAACTTAGTTAGGACTTTATTGGGCTTGCTCATCGTCTAACACATGTTTCTTTCGGGCTCGTACAATTCATTTTTCATTTGTTGGTCATACGACAATGCTTACACTTAAGACTTCAACCCAAAAAAAACCCCACATTGATCGATTTTAATTCACTTATTTAATTATTTTATGAGTTGGTAAAATATATTCAATTTATGGAAGGTTATTCGCAAATATTGAAATCATGGATTTTTAAAACACGAATAAATGGGGACGTGCCTTTAGTCAAGTGGTTAAGTCCATTTGACTCCGCCTTCCCCACCGAAGT